GGATTTTTAAATGTCAGAAGGAGGAAAGAGCGATAGTGAGACAGCTAATTTTACGTGTCATCGGGGACAGGCCCTGGTGCCCAGTTGTTCTGTCAACATCAGTCTAGATGTCGCTGGGAAGGTATTTTTAGATGTGATGAACATTTCCAATCAGTGGACTTTAAGGAGCTTCACTCACACTCCCCAGCTGGGCTGGGCCTTGCCCAATCAGTCAAAGGCCTTCAGAGAAAAGACTGAGGTTTCCCAAATAAAATTCTACCTCAAAAGACAGCAACATGGAAATCCTGCCTGATTTTCCAGCCTGCTGGCTGGCTCTGCCCATTTCAAACTCAAGACTACAATATTGCCCATTACCTGAGCTTCCAGCCTGCGGGCTGACCCTACAAATTTCAGACTGGCCAGCCCCAAAAACCATGCAAACCAATTCCTTAAAACAACTGCTCCCTTTTCCTCCTCTCCTCTGTCCCCCTACGCACACACACATACTCTTTGTTGGTTCTGTTTCTCTGGAGAACCATGATTGATGCAAACAGGACCATACATTCTATCTTAGATGGAGCTAGAAGCACCTGGAGTCCACACCACAAGGAATGCCAAGGCAAGCAGCTGACAGAGACGACACCTCCCAGAGCCAGAAAAGGAGAGTCTAAAGCCTGCAGAGGCTGGTGCTGATGGGAAGTGGGAAGTCCCTTATTCACCAGCAAGGGCCTGCAAAGCTCTGAGCTGAAGGCCCTGGGAACTGCAGACTGGGAGGGGAAGGCAGGGGATGGAGATGAGAACCAGGTGGGAAGTTCCTATTATGACCAGTTAAACTCTCCACCCATCCTACAAACCAGGAAGGAAACTGCCACCTCCCTGATTCTTAAAGATAAAAGGTTAAACGATGTGAGGCTCTGCACTTTGGAAAAGCAGGCAAGTAGAGCTCAGGGCTGAGGAACAAGACAGAAACAAGGGTGAAGGCTTAGTCCGCAAGGTGACCTACAAGAACCCCAGCCTCCCCGCCCAGCTTCCAGAATGCCAGGTGCAGGTCCACCTGCCCAGAGCCTAGGGAACCTCCGCTGGGGAAAGAAATAGCCTCAAAGAAAAGGCCAGATGCTAACACTTGGGGTCAACCAGTGAAAGCCCGGCTCACTCACCATTCATCCTTCAGTGAAGCTTAATTAACGAGATCGGCTCTGTTAGCTTAGTGCTTCCAGCTTAAATAAGAATCCCAGTAAGGTACATGACCGCGGAACTTCAGATGGCCAGAGACAGAGAGAAGATTCTAAGAGGTTCCAGAGAGAGAAAGAAAAATAAAATCAAGGAAAGGAATGCTACAAGGCTTCTCTCAAACACTCTCTAAATGAGAATCCTGAGCCGAAGTGATTTTTCTACCTAGAATTCTGCATCCAGCAAAAGAATGGGGGAAAAAAAAAAAACACTTCAAACATAAGTATCTCAAAACATTGTAGCTCATATGTCCTCTCCTGGGAAATGATAGGAGAAAGTGCTTTTCCTCCCAAAGCTCTTCCTGTCCCCTCCTTGGAATTCCTAGTCCCCAGTTCTGGACCACTGTGATTATGTAACTGGTATTCATCCTTGCCCTAAAGAGGACTTGGCCATGTCTGGCCGTCCTGCACCCTCCCGGACTACCAACCCCATACCTACAAGAGTAAATGCTCAAGAACATTTAGTTTCTATTCTTCTCTCTGAAAGCTATCCTCTTTCTGGAATGTGAAACAATGCCCGATCAAAAAGCCCAAGACTGCAATGAAAGAAAATTCCTTTTTCAGAATATCCCTGCTTTAAAGCTATATTGACTTTCTCTGCTTTAAATCCCAAGTTTCTGGGGGCACCCGGGTGGCTCAGTGGGTTGAGTGTCCGACTCTGGGTTTCGGCTCTGGTCATGACCTCAGGGTCATGAGATGAAGCCCTGCGTCAGGCTCTGTGCCCAGCAGGGAGCCTGCCTGAGATTCTCTCTCTCTCTCTCCCCCTCTGCTCCTCTCCCTGCTCATGCACGCACACACACACTCTCTCTGTCCAAAATAAATCTTCAAAAACAATAAAAAAATAAATCCCAAGTTTCTGGTAACTTCTTGGTTTCTGGAGGAAACCACTTGCTCTTTGAAACTGTGACTCCATTTCTCCTACAAAGGAGGCCTGGGACTCCTTACAGAGCAAGTTGCACAAGATGGCCATCGAAGGGCTGGATGCCACATGAGCACGTTAGTAGAAAGCTCTTTGGCTGCTTCTGGTCAATTAAGCACAAGATCTTCTGTTTCCAAAAGAAACCAGTGTTGGTTCTTAGGTTCAAAGAAAACCAACTTCTCTGCAGGGTGGTATGTAGACATCGACTACCTTCCTGTCACTGGTTATCTACAAAGCAAGCCTGTGATTCTTGAGCATGAGGAATTCATCCTCAGAGATCCCGTGGCCCAGAACACCTGTGTCCACTCACTCCCGCGCAACCTACAAAGCTGATCTGACTGAAGGGAGAAGGAGTGTGTGTATCACCCCGGGGGTCCACTAAGGTCATCCCTCCGGGGTCCAGCACCTCCTCCAGGAGCCAAGAGTCATGCCAACCACTTTCTTGTAGCCACAAAATCCAAACAACAGCCCTGGTGGCTTTTCTAAGTGGATGTGGCAGCTCCCTGTAAGGCAATCACTGACCTGTCACAACTAAGAAAGAGAACAGATAAAAATACTCTCATCGAAGCCTAGAGGGTGGGTAGAATTCCATGTCTGCCAAGTAGTAAAAATCCATAACATTTTAAATAGTGTCTTAAGCAGAAGCTAATAACAGCCTCTGTCCAAAAGCTGGTGGAGTACAGATGGGACATCAGCCACGCACTTGATGTGGCACCTGGCAGGCAGCCCTCAGAAAACGCATCTGATAGGGAAGGTGTGCTTCCACAAGGAACCCTTCTGTGGGGCCTGGGCTCTACTCTTCAGGACCGGCAGTCTTCTGGGCTAAGTTACTCACATGACAGCTGTTTCTTGCCAGAGGTCAAATGCAGCACTGGACACTGAACTGTGCTAGTAGGCCTCAGTCAACCATCTAAAAGCCAGCATTCAGAGTTTCACTTCTTTCAGCTTTGAGCTTTGGAAGCCCCTTCAAGCTTGGCACCGAGCCTCTGGGAGGACAAAACATGCCCTAAGACAAGAGAGAAATGCGGGAGCCCAGGAATCTGAAATCAAGGTGTGGGCAGGGTCATGCTCCCTCTGAAGGCTCCAGGAGAGGATCATTCCTTGCCCCTTCCAGCATCTGGTGGTTCCACGTTCCTTGGCTTGTGGCTATACCATTCCGATCCCTACCCCCATCTTTACGTGGTCTTCTCACCTATGTCTCTGTGTCTCAAATATTCTTATGTCTTTCTCTAATGGGGACGTCTGTCATTGGATTTAGGGCCACCCTAAAACCGGGATGATCTCATCTTGAGGTCCTTAATTCAATTACACCTGCGAAGGTGATTCTCCAAATAAGGTCACGTTCACAGGTTCCGTGGGTTAGGACTCAGACATATCTTTAGGGGGAACATTATTCAACTCCCTGTAGTCCAACAAACCAGACAAGAATATGAGTTATTTATTTACATGAACATGGGATACTTCATTGTATTTCATCATGGTAAGCCCTGAGACACTACTGAGTTAGAGGCTGGTAGGAAGGTCAACTAAGTGTCCTTGAACAATTTAGAGTCTGTCTGAGCTTCACTGTCCTTATGTGTGAAATGGGGATAACCCAACCTGGTGAGGCCCTTGTACAGATTAACAGTCATTCACGTAGAGTGATTGGCACCCCAATATCTTGTTGATAGGGCTCCAGTCTCTAAAGGCTCCGAGAAAAATATTCAACAAACACGGCAGGAAAAGGCATCCAAAGACTCTTTGATCAAGCCACTTTCAGGAAATGTCTTACATACTTAGATAAAACAGACAAGATCAAGGTTAACAGGCTTGCCAATGGCTGATAATGTCACACCAGTGAGAAATCAAGGACTTCGGGTCATAAGAACAGCCTCTCCCAAGTGGCCGCCTGTGGCCACAGTTTTCCAATGATCCCAGGGTCACCAACCTAAATATACAGCGTGCCATTGCCTCTAGAGTCCCCAGAACACAAGCTGTGTCTTAGTTATCTCTGTGTTCCCCAACACCTAGCACCACTGGCACCTCAGTCACTCAACAAACATTGCTGAAATGAACCAGGACACTCCGGAACCTCAGCTCTGGTTACAGACAACGATACGGGTACATCCTGCTGATTTAAAGCAGCATCCTGAGTACTTCACATACACAGTGACTACATTAGATGGGATAATGCCCTACACGCCCTGGCATGGCAGCTGCTCCAAATGTCAGCAACCAGCAGTCCTTATCTTAACCCTCACCCCAGCCGGAATGGAGGCATCATCGTTCCCATGGTACACCGCAGGCACTGAGGAAAGAGTGGGTAAGTCACAGAGCTAAGACCTGGCAGAGCAGGGTCTGTCACTACAAAGACCTGTATCCTCTCCACTACACACCCTACACCTGATTGTAATATTTAGTCTTGGCTATAAGGCTGGTCCCAGCCCACATATCTATAACCAGACTACGTAGTGAGGCGTGCACCCACACATGTGTGTGTATTGTGTGTGTATGTACATGTACACACACACAGTACCATCGCTGAAAGAATATGCCAGAGGGAACATGGAGCTGAAAAGCAAGTTCCCAAGGAACACGGTAAATTGCCTTGCCCTGTTAAGCTCCTGAATTGTACTGCCAAAGGGCCAAGTGTCCCATGTCACACTCCACTGAGCTCACAGAAGCAACGTATACAATGTCTTGTAAACTCTATAAAGCCTCATCCCCAGGTTTATTACTTCCTGTTGAATTCGTGTTTCTAAGCCTACAGGGAGAGAAACATGAAATGTGCTCAACACTCGTGTCCTAGCACTTTCCTCTCCACTGAAACTCCCAAGGAAAGTGGTCAGGAGACATGACCAGGAATTAAAGGTCATCCCAGCCTCGGAACTTACAGGAGGAATGGATGCTGGGGAAGCTTTTGCGGCCCTCGGACACCAGATCAGGGTCACCCGTGCAGTGCATTTCCGAGTTCATCACTCCATCTGGAAAGCAGCGGTAAAAGAAATCGGGGCGAGGTCTACAAAAGACACCATGGACATTTTCAATATAAAATGCTGCATCGCAAAGGAACCCCCAGCTGACCCCACCTTTCCCTGCTGCCCCCAGCTCCTCCTCCTGCCGTCCACACCAGCGCTCCCCCGGCACCACTCCAGACTCAGTGATCTTGGGGAAAGCTCAGGTTTCGGGGTCAGAAAGCTCTGAGTTGGAACTCTCACGCTGCCACATACTCATTTGTGGACCTTGGGAAGGTCCCACAGCCTCCCCTAGCCTCAGCTTCCACATCTGTAAAAGGGGAGATGAACACCTGCCCCCAGGGGAGGTTGTGAGGGCTGGAGGAGAGGACTGATGGGAGGCATCTAAGCATGGTGCCAAAGGAGAAGGTAGTTCCTGCCTCCAATGACAGCTCCCATTCAGCGGCTGCTTCCAGAAGCCCAGACTCCAGGCTCCTCATGTCCCCACATCTTGAATTTGGATGGTCAGTTGCCCCTCTTCGAATAGCGGGTCTCACGTAACCTCACTGAGACCGAGGACCCAACAGCTCAGCTCCATGGTACAGAGCGCATGGCCATGTAGGCTGGCCTCCCTGGCCCAGGTCTGGGGACACAGACCTCACGGGGCATGGGCAGAAGTGGGGCCCAAGGTTGAACCCCCTGCCGCAGGCACAGCTGGTACTTATGGAGCCATTACCAGGTACCATACACAGTGCCAAGCACGGCACCCCCATCGTACCACGTGGCTCTTATGCCAACTCTGGGACTTCCTTCATCTGACAGGGGCAAAAATGAAGGTTTAGAAAGATTACACTCCTGTCCAAGGTCACATCCAATCTGCAAGAGGAAAAGACAAGCCTGCACCCCAGTGATTGGATTCCTGCACTGACACACTTCCCCCCGTGTTTTTCTGCCTTCCTCTGGTGAGGATTCTCACACAGATGAGTGATGGCCAATCCCTTCCCACTAATTCAGCTAATATTTGCTGAAGGCCAGCCATGGGCAAGGCTTTGCTGGTGCTGTAAACACACGGCCCCTTTTATGCACATAGTGAGTCACACCAACTCTTTCCAGCTCTGAGATCTAGGCCTAATAATAATCTGTCAATATCAATAAAATATCAATGATCAGTATCAAAAAAATCTCTCAGATTTTCTGATGTACTCTCTCCCCCCTACACGGCTACTGTTTCTCCAAGTGTGGCTATTCACCTACTGAACCAAAACCCCCAGAGCAGACAAGACCTGGGAACCAGCATTTTATCGGGGCCCCAAGGCAACTCTTAACACAGCAAGTTGGGAGAACACCACTGCTCCATGGTCAGGCACTGCCCAATTTGTAGCCACCTTCTGCCCCCTAGGTGCCTGGCTAGCACCCTCCCCCAGGCAGATAATCAGTAAATGCTGGAGCTTCTGAGATGGGAGCTAACCTGTCCAAGGCCAACGGCCAAAGTCAGGCCTCAGATCCAGGTCTTTCTGACTGTTCATCTCTATGGAAACTAGCTCACTTCTGGAGCAGTGGAGGGAAAAGGCAAGATAAATGGAGAACAGAAATCATGTCCTGGGGGCAACCAGAAGTGTTCCTTAAGCCAAAGCTCAAATGCCAATCCACAGATGACCTTGAGAGTCTAAGCCACCCTTTGTTTCTTTCTGGAACTTACCTTCCCACTATTAACTTAATAGTGTTTGTGCAGACTCCATTCAGAGCAAGAGCCAAGGACACCGCTACAAAACAAAACCAACAGATAGAAGAATAACCAGCTGGCTCTCAAACCACAATCATCGCCATCAACGTTATCATCGTCATCACTGTTACATCATCATACTACTCATTATGACTATGGACATATGAGCCAATAGTTTAAAAGACAGGGGGAAGTCTGAGTGGCTAGAGTAAAATACAATTAAGGCAAGACTTTGGAGAGTGGCTCATAAAATCTCAAGCTTCTAGGACACAAAATTTATCTCTTCTCCTTGACTAAAATTTTTAATACTGGAAAGGAAACTATCCATTATGTTTTGGCCTGATATGAACAGATTTAATACTACAGGATGTCGAGTTTCTTTCACATGTTCTTTACAAAACATAACTTTTTGATTTGTTTCTGGCAACTTCTCAAACATAACTCTAATCAGAGCAGCTCCTGGACTCCTTTAGAGTAGGACATTCCCGCTCCGCGATTATCTCTGTGTTGACCCACCACCTGCTGACAGCTGTCCCTTTGTTATCAAACAAATCACTTTCTGAGAAGGTAAACAGTCCCAACACCTCCCTGGGTTCTGAGAAGGTTTGCCTAGGTGGTGCTTTTTGCCACCTGAGGCAATAGGAACTTCTGGACTACATTATTTAAAAATATAAAGCCTGGGGACTTTTTCTAAGTAGCTCGGAAGGACATTGCTGGATAAAGTACAGATCATTCAAAGGGTACCTCACAAGTCTCTCCTATTTTATCAAAACTGCAAAAAGGGTGAATCAATGTGATAGAAGGTCAAATGCCTTGCATAAAAACCTACAGATGCCCCATTCCAATGCTTTGTTGAATAACAAAGCACGTGAGCTACCATTTCCCTTTGGCAGGCCATTAACTGTTCAACAGTAGCTGAGATTTATGTAAGAAAACAGAGGTGGAGAGATATTTCCAGGAAGGAGCTGCCTAGAGCAATGCATGGTCATTAAGGGAGACAAACGTGTTCTCTGAACAGAAAGTACCGCGCAATGGCCGCCACCGTCACCAAGGGCACCGGCCACAGAGACTGATACAAAACCTATCTGCTTTTAACAAGTCATGAGAAGCAGAGAGAACAGAGGGGCCAGTTCAAATGAAAACCTTTGTCAAAAGGAAACTAATCACCTAAGCGCAAGATGGGCCACAATGGGCCCTATCTGAGTGAGGACGGATGGTGCGGGGAGAGCCAAGCAGGAGTCACAGCCCAGCACTGCCATTAACACACCAAGCAGGCAACTGGGACGGATAAATTGGAAACCAGTGTGTAGGAATTCAGAGAGATCTTGTGATACCATTCTGCATGCACAGACCCTTCCTTCTAAAATGCTGACCTTCCTTCTCTCTAGCCAGCTCAGAGCCCCCCTGAGAGGTCTCCTTTGCAGAGAGGAGGGAAAATGCCCTGGGCTCTCTTCACTGCCATATTCTCCCCAGAGCCAGGACAATTAACAGGCTGTGAGATCACCCGGCATGACTGGGGTCTTTTCCTGGTAGAGCTGCTTTGGCAGGCTCATGGCTGTGTTTTCCCAGCAGGGCCGGCCTCCTTCTGATCCTGGTCCTAGCATGGCCTTAGCACAGAGGAGGTCTCTGGGAACAAGCATCGCCAGCTGATCTCCCAGTGCCCTTGGGGAACTTCACAGACTGCTACATCAATGCAGAACACCATACACATCCCCAGTCTCAGCACTGGGTTGGCTTTATTGTAGCAAAGAGCAGTTCTTTGAAAAGTTTCAAGTAACTGAGCTAGAAAACCTGTAGATGTGATGTAACTGCCAACAGCCGGCAACTTCACTCTCTGATCCAGAAGCCTGAAGGAGACAGAAAACAATGGGGCTACTGACTGACAACATTTAGGGTGAAAGTCCTCTCATCATTCTGGAAGTAAACTGAATGGATTATTTTCATCTGAATAGTACAACCCCTAGGGGACCACTATGGGGAACTCCCACCGATAGCAGAGGGTAGGCTGGGACCAGATCAAGAGGCATGAAGGGCTGCCTGAGCAGGAAATGAACAGCCCCAATCAGGAACGCTTGTCGATTAACAATAACCCAGTGGGTCTCTTTCATAAGAGTCATGCTGACAACATCCCACAGCACTGTGGGTTTGAGAGAACAGACAAACCGACAAACCAGGCTGTGCCCAATAAAGAAATTCAAAATAATGTGTCATGTGAGTTAGCCCACAAGTGGCCTGTATGGAGAACACTACTGGTCATACACATCCCAGAGGTTAGAGAGCTTTTGTTGTTACTTTGTTTGTTGTTGAGAATTTGGAGCTGCAGGATTTCTGTAACAGGAGACTCTGTTGTATCGACTGGCTGTTCTGCAGCCGAAATTCCTAAAAGCAGGATGCTGCACAGGGGCAAGCCTCGCCCGTCTCGTCTACAGCAGAAGCGTGAAGGTGGCCACTGTGGACGTGTAGGTAAGAGGCAGTCTTGGGATTCAGGGACCTGAGCACCAAATCACTCTCACTGAGAAAGTCCTGAATTCTAGATCACATTGGAAAGGCTACACCTGGTTTTCTGTCCTGACTTTTTTAAAGATCAGTCCCTCACCCCCTACTTCTGAGGATTCCTAAAAGAAGTGATTTAAAAAACAAAAAAGTCATGTACAACAGGAGGCTCCCCAGGCAGGCTTTCATCTATTTAGGCAAACAGAACATCCAAAGACTCTACCCTTCTCTGTTAACATATACAAGGCAAGGTGTGGTGTGCAATTTTGAAATGTCATCTAAGGGAGATTTCGTGGAAAATGAAAAAGTCTAGAGAAGTAACTTACTGCCACAACAACACCCAACTCCAACAGCTGGCAGTAAATTATAACCATAACCACAAACGACCAGAGACTCGTGACTATTGTGTCCAAGCGTGAAAAATGAGTCGAGCCAGCGGGTCTGCCTGGGAAGTCTCGTCTATGAGACAAAGAGCTGCTTGGAGGTGGGTCCTGGAGATGATGGTTCTACGGGTGTGGGCCAGGAGCAACCACCCCTGCAAGCCCAAACCTCATAGAAACCAAAGGCAGGGGCAGGATTAGGCAGGATGTGTGACGGGAAGAGGGAAGGCATGTTATAGAGAGGAGTGTGTCTCCACCCCCGCTGGCCCAGCTCCCAACTCCAGTCCCCACGAAGCTCTTCTGTCCATTCTCCCCCCATTCTTGGGTATTTGTGAGATTGCTCATATAGTCCTATAACTGACCCCTAATTTATATGAGCTAATTGGAGAGTGATTCTGTTCTGCTCAGTTAGAGCCCAACCAAAGCCTGGTTATGTAAGAAATATTCCCTGTTCTATTTCAGAGCACAAATCCCCTTCGCTGCTCTGCATACCCCAGATGTTGCCCTTACCACCCCCACTCCTGTACCAAGAAAAGAGAAGACCATATTTTGCTACATTTCCATTTCCTCAAAGCCCAGTAATTTACAAACATACTCTTGGAGGTGGGAAATCTCATTTTTCAGATATATCTAACTGAATGAATGGTAAGTCTATACAATATACCAAAAGTGGTTTATGTGAGGGTTTGGATAGTTTTTATTGGGATATCAAAAAAATAAAAATGATTCAGTACTTCTAATGATCAGAAAGCTGAAAACCTGACTATTGGGTAGTTTATTTTTGTTACTAAGCAAGTGAATTAGCTTTGTTTTCTCTTAATACTGTCATTTACTCAGTCATTTAACTAATATGAAGATCATAAAAATGTTTTTATCTTATTTTTTAAAAATATTTTTTCTTTAAGACTTTATTTATTTGCCAGAGAGAAATACAGTGAGAGAGGGAAAACAAGCAGGGGGAATGGGAGAGGGAGAAAGAGGCTTCCCGCTGAGCAGGGAGCCTAAGGACCCTGGGATCATGACCTGAGCCAAAGGCAGAAGCTTAGGGACTGAGCCACCCAGGCGTCCCTGGTTTTTTCTTTAAAATGTCAAGCTCGTGTCATCGGCAGCTATGGCTTAGCTTGGAAAGAATTTCTAACAACGGCATCATAGTCAATGGCAAAGATTGTGGCACTCTTTATACAATAACAACTGCTTAACTGCCAAAATGCCTCCCCCAAAAAATGAGCTATGGAGTTTATTTCCAATTTCTATTGTATTTTACATCTGCTTTTGACCTTTGTGCCTCTAGCCAATGATGACTGGTCAAGAAGTCCATGGTTGATTTCTGAATTGCCCGTAATATAGACTTATTAGCCACAGACGTGGGATTGGACAGTCAATGGCAACAGTTTCAGATTCTCTTTGCTTCATGGCTGAGAGCTACCCGGCTGCGGTGTCTGAGCAGCACAGAGCTCGGAGGTACGCTTGGACATTCACATTCAGCACAATGGACAGCGACAAGGCTGCCGCTGAAGGTGCGATGCTCACTTTTGTACACTAGCTTTTCTTAGGGTTAAAAGTTTATCTTTCCTTATTTCTCCCAAGCTTAATTTGACCAAGAGAAAAATCAGTTGGGTGCAACAGAGATTTTTTAAATCTACTGATCTAATTAAGTCCAGCCCCATCCCCTAGAGCAGGAACTGTGAATACTCTACCTAAGAAGGCTTCCTTAATTTCAGTCTTGTCCGTTCGCCGGATAATTTTCACCACACAAATAACAGCCAGGGGTGTGAGGAAAGAAATTGCCTGGAAAAAAAATAACAAATAATCCCTTATGAGGACAGCAGTTTGTTATCAGAGGGCTGACTGATAATTAGTTCAAGTTAGTTTCATTCAGACTCACTAGTTGAATGATCTTACTGAACTCCTGACCTCAAACAAAGAAAGAGGATTTATATCTATACTTAGAGACTCTGAAGACTTAAAAAAAAAAAATTGGAGATCTGATTGTGGGTTATAATTGATTTGTAATTGCTGGAAGCCATGTTTAAAGTGGTGGCTTTTTAAACAGAAACGCACAGCCTATAATCATGATGACTCAGCTTTGCCAGCAACCCCCTCACATCCTCCCCAGCAGAATGGTGCAGGAACCCTTGGCCTCGCATCCCCAGCTCTCTGGCAACATGGGCGTACGGTGGATTTGCTTACAGTCAATTCATCCATTTCATCCATTTCTTTGGTGTTCTTTTGTTGAATTTCATTTCCTCCTCAAAGCAGAGTTTAATCCTTTTGCTTGCCACCTCTCTTCCTTTCCTCCCTCACCTTCCCTCCCCTGGCCCAAAGCACACAAAAGTGCAATAAGTGCTTAATGAATCAAGCTGGTTGAATTCAGATGCAAGCAGCACTCATTACAGAACCCTCTATAAGGCAGGAACTGTGTTTGGGTAGCATCAGGTACTGGCATCTCTTAAATCCTCATGATGACTCTGTGAGTGTCTTTGCCAGGTTTGGGGACTCAATCATGTGCCCAAGGACATAAAGCTGGGGAGTAGCAAGGCTAGGCTTTGGAGATCAGGTTTTCTGCCTGCCATATCTAGCCTTTATTCAACATTCTACAGTTAGTAAATCGTTTTTGACTTTCCAACAACCAAGAAAAGTATTTCAGTTACATCTTTATGACTATAACATCCAAGGATAACAGTATCAGAGGGGACTCAATATCTTGCAAATCCACAACTGGCCTAACAGCGGCAGGAAGGGTGGGGTATGGTAACCAATGCTCACACTTTTGGAAATCTCCACCTGTACTCAAATGCAATGCCACTTTGTGGAAAGGGGCTTTCTAATCGGACTAAGGCACCGCTGGGAGACACTTTTCTGTTATAAAAACAGAAATCACCCAAATGAACATAGTCTTTCAAAATGACTGGAGATGTGATACACACTTGCTACAACCAGATTGCCAGAGCTCAGCACATCCTGGGGTCTCCTCTTTGGGAACTGTCTTTGGAGGCAGTTCATGAGACATGAGAAAAGCCCTCTCCTTACTGGCCAGTCTCATTCCCACCACAATGGTAGTCACCAGTTTGCTGAGCCTCCTGATCAGCTGTGGCCCTAAATGAATCGGCTGTTTAAACACCAAATGGGCAAGTCCTATCACCATGGAGGGTATTTGGAAGAATGCAAGTCAAAGGGCAGCTTTAGAAGAGGAGATTCAGAACTGAAGCAGAGAATTTCCCCCAAAGGCAACTGGAAAAGACAAGACTCACTTGAGAATTAATAGTTCTGGCAAACACGGGCAAGCTCCCCTGAGTGCTTCGGTGGCTCTCACCCTTGAAGAACAGTCAGGCTTGTTACAATGCTGAGTCCCTCAATTATACGCACAGGTCATGTCTGGCAATCGACACTTTGTAACAAGCATCACAAATGATGCTGTTGCTGGTGACTGAGAAACACTGCGTCAGAGTTTCGAATTACACATTCAGTGGTGGAAGAGTGATGACTGAAGCCCTTGCTTGCTGACGTCCAAAGTTATGGTTAAGGTCAAAAAAACCCCCACCTCCTTGTTTCCTCTCACCTCAGCCGTGCAAAGCAGGCCGCACACTCCCAAACAGGGGAAAGCAGCTCACTGAGCAGTGAACAGCTTGGCAATGACCTCACTGACAGTCAAAGATGAGAACAACGTGCGACTGAAGGAAACATTCCAAGGCAATCCCAGATGACGTACTCTAAGGCTAGAGTGAATAAAACCCCAGAAAAAATATAAATTGGCAAGACTTTCCCTACCTCGGAGGCTGCCTACAGGAGATCGTGAGCAGGAATATACCAGCCAAGAGGGGACAGAGACACCACAGGGGAGACCGACAGCTCCAGGCCCATGAAGAGGGGCTGGAGAAGGCACTACGGCTACCCAGTGGCTCCAGGCTGCAACTTAGTGGCCAAGGGGGTCTCCCTGAGCATTGCTCCCTGCCCCAGCTCCCCTGCTTCCACCAGATCCTCACTCTGATGGCCCAACCAGACTGCACTTCATTTCACCCATTCTAGGAATTCCTAGATAGATTCATGTTGGTTTCTCTTCTAGAAGCACTGACAAACAGCTTCCTGGGCCAGTGCTAGGCACCCAGAAGGGCCAGGGCTCCCCAGCTCATGAGCTCCCCGAGAGGGAATCCCTCAGACGAAGCTCCCACTCAGAAGGCTGCAGAAATCTCTGTGCATGACCGTGCACCCGTCTTTCTCTCCTGCCATCATCCTAACGATGTTTGGGCTCCAGTCTCAATTCTTCTTCCCGAATACATAGCTGTCGTATCCTCAGACAGCATGGTCTTCAAATCAGCACAGACAGAGACATATTTACATTGACCATGTGCTCCCCTTTTTACTAATATTTTCCAACTAGAAGACAGGAGTTAAGAGATTAGCCCCAGAAGCCAACACATTAGGAAAACAACTTCCTTCTGGGCAAAAGCACCTCTGAACTGAATAAAAGAGAAATAAATCCTCCTTTCACCTGACAAACCAGATTGAATTACACCGGTGTACCGCCCCCCCCCCCAAAAAAAAATCCCACACAAGCATTTAGAGGCCGCTTTTCTGCCAGCCGAGCCCATGAGCGGAAGATGGACACTGAGACGGGGAGGTGGGGAATGATTACTTCTACTTCCAAACAGATGTGGAGATGGAGGGCAAAAGGGGGCAGGAAAATTTCCCTGGTACAGTTCTCCCTCAGGTTAGTCTTTCCATGGCTTCAAAATTCTTTTGAAAATCCTGGGAACGAGCCCAGTGGAAAGACAGTGAATGGTTAGTGCTTATTAAATGGGACCTGAGAGAGAACAGAACAACCAGCCAATCATTGCTGCGGGATGCAGGGGACAGAGGGAACTCTCTTCAGGCTTGAGTTTCCCTCACTAGTTATGAGAATGGGGCTGCTCAGTATATGTACATAAGTCAGATAACCGGGCTAACGTGCTCTGAAAACTTACGAAAGGCCATGGTCTGTTCTAGGCACCTGAGGCAAATATACACACTAATACATCCTTCCTCGATGGATAGGAAGCTAAGGCACAGAAAGGTTAAACAACCTGCTGAAAGTCACACAGCTAATAAGTGCTAAAGTGAAGATCTGTACCTAAACTGTTTAAATGAAGCTCTGTGCTTTTATTTTTTTAATGTTAAAAATAAGTCAGAGTTTTTTGGGTTTTTTAAAAAGATTTTATTTATATATTTGACACAGAAAAAGTGAGAAAGGGAACACAAGCTGGGGGCATAGGAGAGGGAGAAGCAGGCTTCCCACTGAGCATGGAGCCTGACAAGGGGCTTGATCCCAGGACCCTGGGACCACTACCTGAGCCAAAGTCAGACACTTAATGACTGAGCCACCAAGGCACCCCTAAGCTCTGTGCTTTGAACCATGGTGTTATAGAAGTTCTCACCTTAGAAGTAATAAAACATGGTAAATGCCATTTCTCTAGAAATGGAGGAGGAAGTAAGGGCTCATGTCCAGGAACATAGTAGATAAGCCACAGAAATGTCAGTGGCAGGTGTCACAGATTAAGCACCTACTACATGTGAGGGGCCCCTACTCTGTTGGGGGAAACATTATTCTTACACAGCCCACAAAACTTAGAACTCTGAGCAATAAGTGAATTCCCGAAGGCATGTACGCGGTGGGCCTAGGAAACCCCCAACCTGGGCTGCCATGCTGCCTGGACTGGAGTCTTGAATCACAGGGATCGCCTAAGCCCAAATGCCTCATCTTGGCATGAGATGAGAAAACTGAGGTTGAGGTCATTCTTGCATTAAGAAACATTTTGTAGTCTACGGACTGAGCGCGCCCTGAATGTGCCCAATCTCGTCTGATCTCGAAAGCTAAGCAGGGTCAGACCTGGTTAGTACTTGGATGGGAGACCGCCTGGGAATACTGGGTGCTGTAGGCTTTTTAAAAAAAAAAAAAAAAAAATTGTAAGCTACTGATTAATTGTACTCCACACAGCCCACATGTCAAAATAACATATAAATCATCAGGCAGGACCTGGTATGCAGCTGGTTTTGCATGATGCTATGCCCTGGGCTGAGAAGCCAGAGCTCTGCAGAGGGAAATGTAGGGAACAGACCCAGATTAAGGAAAGCCAGGTTCAAGCTCCAGCCCTGACACTTACCAGCTTTCTGACCGTGAGCAAGTCACTCTACCTCTTCCCCTCCGAGACTCAGTTTCCTCATCCATAAGATGGGGTATAATGACATCCATAACAAATATTGTTGCTAAGATTTGAATTCACCAGCAGTTACTGAATGCTGCTTATGCCCCAAACACTAAGCAAAGTGCTGTAAGTCTATCACCTCATCTGATGCTCTCAGCACCATAGGAGGGAGAGGCAAATGTTATTAAAGCCCCTTTCTATAGACAAGGAAACTGAGGCACTGAGAGGGGAGGTCATTCTCCCAAGCCACAAAGCTACAAAGTTGATCTCAGGCCATCCACTCTGGAACCTGCCCACTCAGAGAGTCCAGCAGAGTTAGCCTCCGGCGAATGCTGGCTGTTGTCTACAATGTCATTATTTCCCAGGGAGAACTGAACAAATGACCCAAACCAGTAAAGAAGGACCAGGATCCTGAGACCAGACATTTGGGAACAAAGCGTTTTAAGTTCCAGCCCACTATTCCCTTAGGTCTGAGCAGCCAGGGAGGAGGTCAGGGACAGAGAAGAGCCTCATCTGCCTGGGCTCTCTGCCATTCCCTACGTGACCGACATCTCCACCAAGGACCTGCCTGTGCATCGGCCAATGAAACCAACCCAGGAAGTGCTGTCA